TTTCGAGCTGATGGTTGATATCTTTTTCTTGAAACTTTATACACATTTTATCGCCATTCTACTTAATTAAATATACACTGAGAGGCAAAAATTTCCACCCACTTGATTTTTTCATGTTTTCATCGAAAAATATTTCTGCTTTGGATTGTCTATTTAATGAATAAATAGATAATCTAGAGGACAATAACCATTAATCCTTAGTTCAATGAAATTATTCTAGATTCCAATGTTTACTTTCTATGGAATCAAAATGTTTATTCGGTATTATTAGTTCAGTGCAGTTTCTTGCAGCACATTTCTTAGTCTCCGGCTTTTAATTTTTTTCAATATTAAGTTTAAAAATGCCTCTTAGTGCTGAGGATGTTGCGCGTGGTGTGGCACTTATTGATTATGGACGTTCCATTAGATATGCAGCTAATGCCATCGGAGTTCCATATGAAACTTTACGAGACGCCGTCAGGGGTTTTCGGGAAATTGGTTCTTACAATAGAAGGCCCGGTTCTGGACGGCCTAGGGTAACAGAACCACGGGATGACCGATTTTTGACTTTGAGAATTTTACGAAACCGATACCTTACCGTTGTTCAAGCGATTCATCAGCTCAAAGAAATTCAAGGTGTGCGAATTTCTGAACGTACCACTCGGAGAAGATTAAATGAGTATGGATTAATGGCTTTTCGTCCAGTAAGAGGACCAGAGTTGACCAGAACTCACAGAGTAACACGGCTGGCTTTTGCTCGAGAACACAGCCATTGGACTATGGACGAATGGAGTGCTGTACATTTTATAGATGAGTCAAGATTCGCTCTTCGATCTCCAGACTGGCGTGAAAGAGTGTGGAGAAGAAGAAACGAAAGATATGCAGCCTGTAATTTTTCCAGAACCAACCTTTCCAACGTGGTTGCTTAATGGTGTGGGATGGGTTTTCAATGGAGCGCCGCACAGAATTGGTTGTTGTTCGTGGAGGGTCTTTGACGGCATTCGCTATGTAGATGAGATTTTGGAACCACATGTGTTGCCTTTCCTCAACGAAATCGGCGATCGTTCTATTCTAATGCACGATAATACACGCCCACATGTCGCCCGCATAGTGCAGACGTTCCTCCGACAGAACAATATTGAGGTTTTAGCCTGGCCAGCACGTTCTCCAGATTTGAACACCATTGAGCATTTATGGGATAACTTCATAAGACGAATAAGAGCGCGTGCAACGCTTCCTGATACGCTGCAGGACCTTGAAAGGGCTCTTCGGGAGGAATGGGCTATCCTCCAGCAAACGGACATTTCCCGACTGGTAAAAAGTATGCCGAGGCGTCTTCAAGAAGTAGTGAAGGCAAGAGGAGGAAACACGCGCTACTATACGATGATGTAATTAATTTCTTTTAGAATTCGTTTTTCAATTTTTTTTTTCACTAATCTTTCTTACCCAATCACATTTTGATTATTAAAGGTAAAAAAGATTATAAAATTCCATAAATACTAAGTAGTATCTACAAATATTCTGTATAATATACAAATACAACTGTTTTTACAAGTGGGTGAAATATTTTTAAATGAAAACATGAAAAAATCAAATGGGTGGAATTTTTTGCCTGCCAGTGTATATATATATTCATTTCTAAAACTTGTTTAACTTCGAATCTTTTTTCTTTTTTGTTAACAAAAATAGGTGTTTTTAAATAAGATGTTTGTAAACAGTTCGATTTAAAAAACCTCCGATGGCCTTCTTAGTTATCTTAGTAACGATAAAATTGTATTAATTTAAATCGCCTTGCCCCTCCCCCCCACTTCCGTAGGGAGTTAAAGTATATTTAAAATTATTTTTGTATGTATAAATGTTAGAATAATTTCTAGGTATGTATTAATATCTCCTATATAACTAGACATGCTCTTAAATTTAGTTTTAAAATTTTATTGAAAATGAAGAAAATAAGGTTGTTTCGAAAAATACCTCAAACCAAAACAATAAAAAAAATTTACATTAATTCATCTTTTTCATTTTTTTTTTAATTTTATTTTTGTCTACGTAGATAAGAAATAAACTTTTATATTATTCTTTTAACTGTATATAACCATCCTTTATATTCGCTCTAATCTAAATAAATATATAAACAGAATACCCGCGTAAGACGGCCTCAAGGAAAAAGAAAACTTTTATTTACTTTTTTCACTACAATTACTGTCTGTTAGTAATAAAGTACGATTGTGTTCAATCTCTAACCCTTATTCTTTTTAAATGTCGTTACAATTTCATAACGGTGAACTTAATCAGAGTATTTGTTTGAACCTTTATGACTTAATCTGCATTATTTGGTAATATAACCTTTGAAATTCATGAAAAAGTTACATATTTTTTTAATTGGAGTATGTGAGGAAGTATCGATGTTGTTCAAAATATCATTTTCGATGGCTTTTAAATTTTTTTAAAATTAAAATAAAATAAAATGTTTATTATTTCATAAGAATTATTATAAAATGAGTATTTATAATTAATAACAGATACACTTTTTAAGTTATTACTTGAACATATATTAAAATTATACTTTGTTATTTATTGTGTTTTAAGTCATATTCGTGTCTCTCGTCCTTGAAAAAATAAGTGTACTAAATATCAAGTTAATCCGACGTCATTTACGAGTTCTGTGGCCATGTCCACGAAAACCCGTTTTTCGCCCCACTGTGCGGTGTACTCAGCCAGACGAATTTACCGAACGAACAATTTCCCCTCAAATGCTCTGTTTTCGATATATAAGTGAAATTTAAAAAAACTGCAATCTTATCCCTCCGGTTCACCACCTAGACGTCAGGACTTTTGATGTCTTCATACCCTAAGCACCCTGAACAAGTTTCTGGAGGAATCACTTAGGTCCCTGCTCACGCACTCTACACTCCCTTTTTGGGCATTCATTGACTGAACTAACTACACTAGGTTTATTCGATTTTTCCTATTTTCTTAATTGATGTTAGTTTATAAATTGTATTCATTCATGTAGAATATTCGTTATTAATGTTTTGTTTTTTTTAATTTTTGGACTTCAAATATTTTGGGAGGAAGAAAGGGCTAACGATATTCTCGTCCAGTCTATTTCATTATTGGAGGGAAGGATGATCACCCCTCTCGTCCCATCAAATTCTACACCAATGTATCACCAAGCAATCATCTCTAAATCTATATGTTATATACTATCATCTTTATATCTATATATCATAGGATATCATCTTTATATCTGTTTTATATAATACTAGCTTTACCCGACCACGCGCTGCTGTGGCTTAGCCTGGCAAAATGGAAAAGAAAGAAAATAGAAAGCACATATGAGTGGATTAATACCAAAGGACATCTGTAATTTTTAAATAAAAAGTTGGGAAATTTTTTTTTCTATAAAATGGCTTCAATTTAAACTAATTCTAATGATTTTTTTTTTTCATGATTCAACTTGAACATTCGTAATCAACTGAGTGAATGCGCCGTTATTCATAATCATCAACAACAGTCTGATTGAAACTTGTAAAACTAAAATAAAAAATGAATATAAAGAACGTATTATAGTATTGCCCTATATAAGGAGAATCATATCACGTCTTTAAATAATTATTTCAATTACTGTAGTACTTATAAAATTTTAGATTAATCAATAACAAAAAAAAAACAATGCTCGCCTACATACGGTAGTGAGGAAGCAAAAGGAAATGGCCTTTTCTGAAGAGAAAGCAGTAAATGTTTAAAACTCTATAACTCTGCAACGAACCGTCCGATTTCAATGATTTTTCTTTATTTTGTCAGCAAATCAGGAATCTTTCAAATAAATGTGGGTATTATCAATCACAAATTATGTACATTTTTAGTTAACGGTAAATAAAATATTGAATTCATCGTAACATTTTTACAGCTTATTTTCGTGAAAGTATGTTATGCACACAAATTAAAAGGGTTTCAAGGGGAAGACTTTAGCCAAGTTTCGTTAAAATCGTTTTGGCGCTACAGTTTATAGCGACACATTTTTTGCAGCTTTGAACAAAAAAACATTTACATTTTTATTTCTTTTACATATATGAAATTATCGTAAGACAAAAGTACTATGCCAGAAACCTTCCCAGAAGTGTACGGAACAACTTCATAAAGCTTCATGGCGATCGGATCAATGGTTTATTAATGCATAAAGGTAAGGCATTGATACAGGAGGCTCTATGTAACCTACCTTTTTAATGCGTTTTCCTAAGCATGTGAATATAAAAAGGCAAATATAGAAAACTCTAATATTTGTTCTAAACATTATATTGACGCAGTCGGTAGGACTTAGATAAAATGAGTCAAACGTATTTGTGAAATTTTTCCAATTTCAATCCAAATTTAGATGATGAACGTATACAGTAGGAGACTTAAGTTCTAAAGAAATTGATTAATCCAGTATTATCATGTCTTAATGAATCTCGTTGGGGTATAGTAAAGACCAAATTACTGGCACGAGATTACTTTTGGTGATATAGTATGAATAGTCAAATAGAACAAGTTATAAATGAATGTGAAGTATGCAAGAGATGTCAAGCAGAACCTCAAACGTTATCACTTGTTCCTTGGAAATAGCCCGGAACCTTTGAATTCTTCCTTGGAAGAACCCTTGACAAGAATATATGTGGATCTCATGGGACCCATAGATAATAAAAGATATTTAGTTGTTATTAATGCAAATAGTAAGTGGACCAAAGCTGTCCCTGTGGAGGCGAACCACCCGCAAAACTCTAGTGGCTTAAATGGAATTATTTGCTAGGTGAGGTCTCCCAAAACAATGAGTTTCGGATAAAGGACAATTTATTAACACCATATAGGTGGCTCTATGTAACCTACCTTTTTAATGAGTGTTTAATAGTTAATACATGTTGTATTTTCCTATGCCTTTGAATATAAAAAAGCAAATATAGAAAACTCTAATATTTGTTCTAAACATTATAATATCTATATATCATATTTACATATCCTATATCAATATAATATAACCTGACCTGTAGATTGAGCATTTCCTTGGCGATGGCTAGGACGGCGGCTGTCCCTCCCACGTTAGTGATGACAGCTTTGTCCAAAGCAGCGCTGAAGTTGACGATGGCTGCCACGTGGAACACTACATCCACACGCCCCTTTATCCTCTCCATGTCTACCCAGGAGAGCCCTATGTTCGGCATTGTCACGTCTCCAGTCAGCAGTGTCACCTTCCTCTTCACATCTTCTTCCAGGTTGTCGAATAGCTGTTGGACAAGAAACTGTTAGGCATATCGTTGAAAGTACTGCTGGATTTTAATTAGTTAATAATGCTTTAAGGAACATATTAACAAAATTTACCTTTGAAAAAATACAAAGTATTGTATGGCATTGTATGTCTTATAATTAGTGTTGCCCAAATGCGAAACCGAGATGAGTCTTGGTCTTGCCAACTCAGTCTTGATCATGGTCTTTCTCTTGCGCAAGGGTCTCGCAACAGTCTTGCAGTTACTTATTAGCTTATTACTATAGAGATATTACTGTAATTATTTAGATAGCAGAAACCTAAGTAAGCCCAAATAAAAAATTAGAGGAGTTAAATGTAAAAGTATATTGTTTGTTTATATTAATTATTAACATATAGTAACTAAGATTGTCAATTATTAGTAACTACTTTGCCTTAATTTTTACTTAAAAAATCGTTTTTTTTTACTTGTCCTAGTCTTGGCATTGGTCTTGGCACTTTGCAAGACCAAGACCGATTTTGGGCAACACTAGTTATAATAAATATAATTTGTATTTTTAAATAAGTGTCTTAGCGTTTCAAATAATCATATATTTTATTAGCTATACCGGCTGGTTAAAAGTTCGAGGAAACAATCCCTATCGTCAGAACCATTATTTACTAAAATTAGTGAACAATCACTTTAATCATAATTTAATACACTATTAATATAATAATTATTAAGATATGTACCTAGCCATTTTAAATTAACTAAATAATAACACAACAAAATAAAAGATGCATTATCTTTAATAAATAATAATAATAATAAAAGGCTTAGCGAGCCCGAAGGTTCGATGCCAACACCACCAATCGCTTATTACACACCACCCTCCACCGTTCGCCGTCCAAACCCAGTCCCTTTCAGATCGGCCTTAATGCAATCTTCCCACCCACGCTTCGATCTACCCCTCGGACATTCACGATTCGGTTCAGCAAATATTAACCTTTTAGGAATTATCTCATTACTAAGCCCAACAATTTTACAGGTCCATTTGATTCGCTAGGATGAAATCACCTCAATTATATTACTCGGATATAGTTCCCACAATTCGGCGTCGTGTAACCGTCTGAACTCTCCGGTTAATTCATCCTTCTTTAGTCCGAATATTCTGCGCAATACTTTATTTTCAAAAAACTTAAGACGTTGCTCATCCCTTAATGTTAGCGGCCACGTTTCGTATCCATAAAGAACTGTAGGTAAGACAATGGTTTTATAGATCCTAATTTTTAAGGTGCGGGATAAGAGGCGCGAGCTAAGTAGTTTGGTCATAGAAAAATAACAAGCATTTCTCGCCTTCAGTCTAACCTTAATCTCTTCTTCAATTTCGTTAGTTCTAGTTATCGCAGACCCTAGATACCTAAACTTCTCTACCTGTTCAAACATATTATCATCTATATCGACATCACCAGTAATATCGCCTTTTTTGCTGCTAACCATATATTTTGTTTTATCCGTGTTTATTTCGAGCCATAGTTCTTTATTGGCATTCATTAACGTTGTCGTATTTAGTTTTATAGTTTCCACATCTTCGCTGAACAGTTGCAGATCATCCGCATAGCCCAGCACGGATTTTGATTATTATCAGGTGTGAATTATCTTTAATACTAATAAAATTAAGTAATAACACATTAAAACAAATATCTTCCTACATCCAGCATATTTTCCCAATTAAAACTTGAGAGATCAGATAATTGAATTTCATCCCCTTGTTGTAACCCTACCACTATCCTTATATTATTACTTGTTTTATATACCATTTTTAAATTTCCTGTAAATTATCAAGTTTTATTCTTTTTAATATATCTGCGTAAACTGTGTTTAAAATGTTCGTATCATTATTATAGTTAATGGTTTTATCACTATTTTTGTTAGATAACTTATATTTTTACTTTAACTTAACTTATATGAAATATATAGTAAAGGAAAGTATTGCGAACGTGAAAATTTCCGATGGTTAGTTTTCAACGGAAATACATGTTTTAAGATCCCCTGAATCCAAATAACCAAGCCCCGCAAAATGGTCTGTGTGTGTTTGTTAAAGTCCAGCTCAAAAACTAAAAGTCGTACAGAAGTGAAATTGCATAATTAAAGTTTTTGTATGCTAGGGATGTACAGGAACTTCATATTTTCGTCATATTCGGCTAACCAGAAGTGGCACTTTATATAATGGACTAAATACATTTTTACGATTTTCTCGAAAATCGCTCTAACGATTTTGATTAAATTCATCAGTGTAAAATTAAGCAGTTTTCAATAAAATGTAGTTTTTATTCTGATTGATGTTCTCTAACGGCTTAAATGGCTAATTTTCAATATTGGCATCCCCCAAAGTACCTTTAATTTTTTTTTTATTTAAAACAATTGACCATTTCACATTAATTTATAATATAAAAGGTAGTTAAATATAGAATATGAATGAATTAGATAATTAACGAAGGAGAAATAAGAGATCATAGCGGAAAATAGCTGTAATTGAGGAACCAAAGGAACACGAGCGACCCGAAAGATTAGAAGACGCTTCTATACGTAATATGAGCTTAATATAATTCCGACTCCGACAATATTATATAATTATACATATGTGGTTTTCATAGATGCTCTTGGTATTATTAAATATATAATTATATAGATTACAGCGATATAAATATTGAAATATATTTTTAATATATTATACAAAATATATTAATTATAATATAAAATATATTAGCGATATAAATATTAAATTGTATTTATAGAGTAATAAATGCAAAACTTTGAATGTCGATAACTTAGCCGAATGCGGCTAGAACCTAACCAAATTAGATGGATTTTACTGTATCATGCGGAACAGCATGGCATAAGTCACATTCTATAACCCCCCTTAAAAATGATTGTACTTTTCAAATTGTAAATTTGAACTTTTTTTTTCAGTTATTTTTCATCATAGCTCTTTTTCAGAAGGGGTTTTCGCAAAACAAAAAAAAAACTGATAGATTATTTTCTTTTCAGAATTAAATTTTCTATGAGATGGCATACAGTTTTTTTTTTTTTTTAATTTACATTACTTTAGAAAATACCCCAATTTTTTTTTCCTTTTTTTTGCAATATTAAGTACTTAAATTCTCTTTACAAACTCTAATTTCAATGCTCATATGAAGGAACTTTAAAAATTTTGCCTGGAAGAACAAAATGCCAACTGGGTTAGGTTTTGACCACTGTGTGTCGTTATAACCTTCCTGGAGGACGGGTGATGCTAGATAGGGATTGTAAAAGGGAATTTGGATTAATTCACCGATATTAAAAGCCAGCGGATGTTGATTAAGGGCGCTACAGCCTCAGACACTCGTGACTTAAGTGGAGAATTTGGCCATTGCCAGAAATCCAATATGTTCATATTTACAAAAGATCTCGGGACCTCTGTTGTTGTAAATTTCTTGGAGGATTATAGGGATGAGTGGTGCTAGATAGTGATTCTGCACGGGGATTTGGATGGTACATAAGGTAATGGTGAAATTTGAAGAATTTTTCTGAGATAAAGTCTAGGACAAATGAGATGTTAAGGTAGTGGTTTAGGTTTTTCTTGGTTACATTGAAAGGAGCACCGGCTATTGTTCGAAGGACTTTAGATTGAAAGGATTTGATGCGTTTGATGTTGGAAAACTTTGCTGTCCCACAAGTTGTAATCCGTCAGTCCAAATAGGTTTCAGGATTGATTTGTAGACTAGTGATTTGTTTTAGATACTTAGATTGATTTTAGATAATTAGATAAAAAGTTTAGATTTTCTATTCAGTAATCTGTACAGTTGGCCTTATCGTTGGCTAAGTTTCTGTCTTTTAAGTTTAGTATGAGGATTCCATGTTAGTCGTCTGTCTAAGAGAAAGCCAAGATAGTGGACTGTGTCTGAGAATGGAAGCTGAATAGAGCTAAAATAAACTGATGGACTGGATTTTCGACAGAGGGTGAAGGTAATGTTTTTGCATTTGGATTCGTTTATTTCAATGGGCGATTTCAGTGTTCAGGTGCATTCGTAGGTTAGAGGACGCTATTGATCAGACGAGGATCTGAGTTGGTTAAAATGATAGCAGTGTCATCAGAATGTTGCCAGGAGGTTACCGGGATGGACAGGGACATCATTGGAAAAAATAATGTAAAGGCTGAGACCTAAGATGCTGCCATGTGGAACTCTCCCGTCAATTAAATAGCAGTCGCAGAATTCAGAATTTTCTTAGATAAAACACTTGTAAGTTACGATAAAATGATGCCACACGCGAAGTTTTGGGCAGATGCTAATAATTTCATGAAACCTGGGTCTGTAGCAAGGACCATTTATTTTGTTTTCATTAAATTTTTAAAGTTTAAAAATTAATTAATAGTAATATATTGAATATAGCGATAGTTTATAAGTACGCTAAGGTTTCAGCTTCAAGCCCATGGACTTGGTCTGCAAATAGGGAGTATACCGCAGTGCTTTATTGGAGGTTAAGGATTGCCAGCAATTGCTCTGCCCATGTGCTGTTTTACATAATAATATGAGCGCTCATAAAAAATTGATGTCGCCATAAGAAATTAATATTTTTTGGCTTGTTCCACATGTGAGGTGCTTTCCTCTATTTCTACTGATCGTAACCTGCACTCTAGCAAATAAACACGTTATTGTCACCCTTTGTTTTTTTGTTTTATTTTTAATAATAGTAATATTTTTTATTCCCGTATTTTTCTAGCTTTAGATTTAGATTGTCTTAGGTCCTATCCTTTACACAGTTTATACAACTGACATCCCAACCCAATCCAACATGCGTATCACCACCTATGCCGATGACACATGTATTCGATCAGTTAATAACGATCCATCTATTGCATCCCAAAGTCTTCAATCACACATCGTAAGTCTTGAAAAATGGTGTCAAAACTGGAGGATTAAAATAAATTCCAATAAATCCCATCAAATTACCTTTACTCTTCGTCGTAAATCTATGACTTCCTGTCCTACAGTTTCCTTCAACAATAGCCCACTTATCCCTGTTGAACAAATCCGATACCTA